GAAAACATATAAAAATATAGATAGAAAAACATTGTTGAGAGCAAGTGGGTGCTGCTTTAATCAAACCGAGAACAGGTTAGTAATTTGAATGCTTTATTTTGCTCATTGTTTTCTAGCATAAACTAATAGCCAATTTACTTAATATTATAGGCACATTTTAATTATGCACAATTTTAATTATCTCTAGTAATTTGAATTGCTTTATTTTGCTCATGTTTTCTAGCATAAACTAATAGCCAATTTACTTAATATTATAGGCGAAGCTGTACAGAAACGTTGGGACAACTTACGTACAATGTTTGTGCGAGCCCATCGCAAACGAATGGAGTATATTCCATCTGGTTCTGGTGCAATGGAGGCAAATTCTTGCCTGTACGCAAAAAATGTGAAAACATATAAAAATATAGATAAAAAACATTGTTGAGAGCAAGTGGGTGCTGCTTTAATCAAACCGAGAACAGGTTAGTAATTTGAATTGCTTTATTTTGCTCATGTTTTCTAGCATAAACTAATAGCCAATTTACTTAATATTATAGGCACAATTTTAATTATGCACAATTTTAATTATCTCTAGGTCGTCCAGATTCATTTTGATAAACACACATTGATAACACACATAAACACGTGAGGCATGCATGCCTAGAACGTCGGGGCGTTTGATTGGCCAGTCGTAAGAAAATCGGTAGTCGGTGTCGTTAAAGTTAGCTATTGGCCAACTCTACCGACTGACCGATTACGACTTACCGACTACTCTTCCGACTCGTTGTAGACTCGCTTTCCACTCACCAATTGTGACTTAAGACTACCGACTACCGACTACCGACTCATTGTAGACCCGGCTATACGGACAGGCCCAAGCAAGGGGCAGTGGACATAACAAGGGAGTTTGCAGATTGGCATTGTTCGACAAATTTCAGGTGAGTCTCCAACTTCCTTCCGCAAACATTTTTTATTCCTTATCACGATTCTTCAGCATATTAATATCACCTTGTAAGCAAATAAAGGTAGTAATATGCCGGACAACGAGGATGCACACATTGCAGCAAAGGCAAAAAGAAAGCAAGCAAAGGCGGCTTGCACACGTGCAAGAACTTTCGTCGAAGAGTTAGGCGACAGACAAGTATCAGTCTCGGAGTTGCGACAGAGACAGATGAAATTGAGAGAGTGTTGGCAGATCTTTGAAGATGTTCAATCACGAATCGAAATGTTGGAAGCCACTGAAGAGCATGAGGTCGCGCATAATGAAGAGCGGCGTATCTTCGAGGATAAATATTTTGAGGTAGACGCAAAACTAGAAGAGCTCATTACAAGGGCGGCTGCAAATGAAGCCATGCTTGGACCTAATCCTTTCGGAGCGCTGCAAAACATACGCGACAACGTCCCGGTGCCAAATATGAACGTGAGATTACTAAGGATTGATCTTCCTTCATTTTCAGGCGCCTATGAAGACTGGAGACCGTTTCGTGACGCATTCATGTTAATAATTCATGAAAACGCCATAGTGCCGGCTATTCAGAAAATGCAGTACCTCAAGGCATCTCTCAAGAGCGAGGCGGCTGCTATCATCAGTGCTCGAATTGTCGGTTGAAAACTACATTGAAGCATGGGAGATGTTAAATGAGAGATATGACAATCAACGAGTCATTGTGCAGAAGCATATCAAAACCATTTTTGATATGCCAATATTATCAAGAGAAAGTCACACGGAGCTTCGGCAGCTTTTAGACACAATTTTGAAGCATTTACGGGCCCTTAAGGTTCTAAAACGTCGCACGGATCATTGGGATGACCTTCTTATTCACGTGGTCACCAGCAAGCTGGCACCTATCACGAACAAGGAATGGGAGACCAGCCTAAAGAGTGCCAATGTTCCAACGTTTAAGGAATTGATCGAATTCTTATCTCAGCAATGCCGAGCGTTAGAAGCCGTCGATAGGAAACCGCAGATCGCAGCGTGTCCCAGTAAGTTTGACAAAGGCGGCACGAAGAAAGCTACGACCGCCCATGTAGCGGTCACTAAAACGCCATGCATCTTTTGTAAAGGAGATCATCCAATTTTCCGTTGTGACAAGTTCATCGCGCTGTCCGGCGACAAAAGGCTACAAGAAGTAAAGGAACGCAAGTTTTGCCTAAACTGTCTGAAATCTACTGAGCATAGAGCAAAACAGTGCACCGCCGGATCGTGCAAAAAGTGTAACAAAAGACATAATACACTAATTCACATCGAGTCAAACAAGCAGGTCGAGAATGTGGAAAATGACGCATCAAGCTCTCGTCCAAATCCAGAACCGTCAGCCGCCAGCGTGAATCATATAGCCTGTAAAGAAGGACATCAATTCTTGTTGTCAATGGCAATCATCCAAGTCAAGAACGCCAAGAGAAGTCTGCATTCGTGTCGAGCACTTCTAGATAGCGGATCTCAGTCAAATTTTGTGACGATCGACCTAGTGAAAAGGCTCGGGTTGAGGCAGTTTTATAGCTGCGTTCCAATCAGCGGTGTTGGTGGCGCAGGGACTGACACGCACAGCTCTGTCAAGATATGCATGCAGTCTCGTTTTAATGGATTCAAGGTAGACCTTAATTGCCTAGTGCTTCGGAAAATAACACAGGATCTGCCAGCCACTTCTATAAAGCGAGAATATGTTTAAATCCCATCAGAAATCACTTTGGCGGATCCCGACTTTATGGAATCGTCAAGAATCGACATGCTCTTAGGGGTTGAAGTGTTTTGGGATTTCATGTGCGTAGGACAAATAAAGAAAATGGAGAGTCAGCCGTGCTGGCAAAAAACGCATTTGGGCTGGATTGTAGCGGGTGGAATTCAAACAAGGTCTTGCTCAGCAACAACAGCATGCACTCTGGCTACAAACGAAGAATTAAATCAAAATATAAAACGGTTTTGGAAAATCGAGCATGGCGCGCGGAATCAAGAAATGTCGCATAAAGAACGAAAATGGTTAAGGCATTTTGAAGAGAATTTTAAACGAAACGCGGAAGGTAAATTTGTCGCCAAGCTCCCAATTAAGCGCAAAGAAATGGCGCGTCTTGGACCGTCTAAGGATACGGCGATATCTCGTTTCAAGGGACTGGAAAGACGACTCGAACGTCAGCCGGAAATTAAGAGAAGATACGTAGAATTTATGAATAAATACAAACTATTAGGACACATGAGAGAAGTCACGACTGCGAATACAACAGCGATGCCGCACTATTACTTACCCCACCGCTGCGTCATTAAGGAAGAAAATTCTACAACTAAGTTGAGGGTGGTGTTTGACGCCTCCTGCAAGACAGCATCCGGTGTCTCCCTCAATGACACGCTTTTAGTCGGTCCCACGTTACAGCAAGATCTGCTATCAATTGTCGTAAGATATTCAAGTATGTTTTGATTGCAGATATAACAAAGATGTACCGCCAGGTATGGGTGGATGAAGAGCAGGTACCACTACAACGCATAATCTGGCGAGGCGATCCAAGGGAGCGGTTGAAAGAGTTCGAGTTATTAACGCTAACCTACGGCACTGAACCGGCATCGTTCCTTGCGATCAATGCAATCCAAACACTGGCCAGGATGAAGAAGGAGAAATACCCAATTGAATCACAGATTGTGCTAAGAGATTTCTATGTGGATGATCTGATTACGGGAGCAAATTCGATGAAGCGCGCATTGCAAATACGCAACGAAACTATGAAGCTTTTAGCCGAGGGTGGATTCATACTGCGAAAATGGGCTTCCAACGAACGAACGCTCATAGAGGATGTACCAGCTAATTCCGCAGGCTTGACCAGATCGCTGGACAAGGGAGGTGTTCTTAAAACACTAGGCATTCATTGGAATCCCGTAGAAGATATGTTTCAGTACAAAATATCCGTCGACATGAAGCAGAATCAACGAGTTACTAAAAGAATCATAATGGCAGTCATTTCGCGAATATTTGACCCATTGGGCTTCCTAGGGCCGATAGTTATATTAGCTAAATTAATTATTCAAAGACTGTGGAACTTGCAAGTAAATTGGGACGAATCATTACCCTTTGAATTACACACAGATTGGACCAGGTACAAGTCTCAGATAATGCAACTAAATGAGTTTCGGATACCATGCAAGGTTGCGGCTGTACATGCAATAATGCGAGTTAAATTACACGGCTTTTGTGATGCGAGTCAAGAAGCGTACGGAGCATGTATATATATGCGCGTCAGTGATCAAAACGGAACTCATCAAGTAAATCTGTTATGCGCAAAGTCAAGGATCGCACCACTAAAATCAATAAGCATACCCAGGCTGGAGTTGTGTGGCGCTCAATTGCTAGCACAGCTAATTGACAAGATAATTCCAATTTTGGACTTAGAGATACATCAGACTTGCTGTTGGACAGACTCAACGATAGTCCTCGGTTGGATAAAGTCTCCAAGCCGCAGATTCAACACGTTTGTGGCTAATTGGATAGGAGAGATTCAGGAACGCACACAAGTTGAGGACTGGCGTCATGTGGGAACTGCTGACAACCCGGCCGATATTCTATCGCGGGGAGCATGCCCAGAGGTCCTCAAAATATCGGAACTGTGATGGAACGGACCCAGTTGGTTGCGCAGTAATGAATCACAATGGTCCAAATTTATATGACCAGACTTAGATTCGGAAGAGCTACCTGACCAAAGAAAGACAGTAATCGCTGTTTCTACAACGCTGGATGAGTTCGATATAATAGAGAGATTTTCGTCGTATGCTCGATTGACAAGAACAGTCTCACTGTGTCTGCGTTTTACACACAATTTAAGAGCTAAGATGGATCAAAGAAATCTTGGCCCAATCACGGCGCAAGAACTTGAAGTAGCTAGAAAACGTCTCATCAAACAGATTCAGCGGATAGCATTTCAAAGAGAGATTGAAGACATCAAAAAAGGGAGCATTGATCAAGGAAACAATCGTTTGCTCAGTTTAAATGCATTCATAAACGAGGGTCTCTTAATAAGAGTAGGTGGTCGTCTAAAGAACTCGGAACTATCATACTCAGCAAAGCATCAACCTATTTTGCCAGCGCATCACCGACTTACGAGATTGATCATTAAGCATGAGCACGAAAGAGCCTTACACGCGGGACCGCAGCTTACGTTGGCGTTTGTGAGGTCGCAGTATTGGCCTTTAGGAGGCCGAAGAATGGTACGTAAGGTAGTCCACGAATGCGTCGTTTGTTTCAAGGCGAGGCCTCGAGCCTCTAAAACTATTATGGGCAACCTTCCTTCAGCAAGGGTTACTTCGTCACGTCCTTTTGATAACGTTGGAGTTGATTATTGTGGCCCAGTATTAATAAAGGAAGGTAAGCGCCGTAACGCAAAAACATCAAAGGCATGGATATGCATATTTATTTGCATGGCCACGAAGGCGGTTTACATCGAACTGGTATCCGACCTGAGTAGCGAAGGTTTTTTGAACGCTCTTAAACGATTCATGGGCCGAAGAGGAAAACCATCAAGCATCTTCTCGGATAACGGGACGAATTTTGTTGGAGCAAACCGCGAACTAAAGGAATTATACGATCTTTTCAACAAGGAAGAATTTCAGCATTGCATCATGAAGGAAACTGCCAATAATGTCATTTCCTGGCACTTCATTCAGCCGCACGCGCCACATTTCGGCGGCCTATGGGAGAAAATATTTCAAACAATAGTTTCGTATTTTTTCATATAGAATTCGAATCTGCGATAAAAAATACGGTAAATATTTACATAAGGTCAGTACCTTCAAAAGTCAATGATCTCGACATATGTTGTCAAGGACATATTCCCGAGTAACAATCAAAAGGTTTCCACGCAAAGCGAGATTTAATCCAAACTTATGTGTCTAGTTTTTTGGTAGTGGAGCTTCCCCGAAAGGGGAGGGGGGCGGAAGACACTGCCTCCACGTATACACTATCCACGCGAAGCGAGGTTCTACATAGGTTTGCAACTTTCACGCAAGGTTTTTAACTTTCAGTTGTAAACCGATGTGGAATCTGACTTTGCGTGGAAAGTGTATGCGTAGAGGCAGTGTGTTCCGCCCCTTCCTTCCTACGGGGGGGGAGGGGGAGGGGGCTTCACCATTAAAAAACTATACATAGAATCTGGATTGAATCTCGCTTTGCGTAGAAATTTGTAAACCCATGTGAAATCTTGCTTTGCGTGAAAAGTGTACAATGATGTATCCAATAAATGTTTTTTAATAACTTTTTGTAACGGTGCAGCCCGCAAGCTGCATCGTTACGGCTACGGACCGTCCATCGTCCGTAGCCCACCAAGGGCACATCGAGCGCCAATAAGACTTTGTAATAAACAACGGCGGTCAATCGCCGAACGGACCCCCACATCCGACCGTTCCGAATTCCGCTTAGTGGGGGCCCGCCGCCGAAACCGCCGATGCTTGCCGATCCGAAGTCAGTCGGCCGCCAGCCGAGTATAAAAGAGGCCCGGCTGTACGTCTATTTCACCAGATCCTGTTCGTTGCTAGACAGCGAACCTCCCTCTACGCGTTCTCGTAGCCCGCCGAGCGTACTCGGCTTCTATGCCTTTTTCTAAACACACGAGCGTTCTCGTGTACCGCCGAGCGTTCTCGGTATTCTTTCCTCTGCATACGAGCGTTCTCGTATACCCGCCGAGCGTACTTGGCTCTTCCAGGCACCGATCTTCGTGCACGGGCATTTCCGTGTACCCAGCCGGACCGCCGCTCTAAATCCACCTTCGTACGAGCGTTCTCGTACTTCCGTCGAGCGTGCTCGGCTTCAAGCCTCTGATACGAGCGTTCTCGTATACCCGCCGAGCGTATTCGGCTCCTCACCTCTTAAGACACGAGCGTTCTCGTGTACCCGCCGAGCGTACTCGGCTTCCCAATCCAAATATCGCGTTTCCGTGCACCGGGATTTTGAAGTTAAAATTCATCCGGCAGGTAAAACCGCATCGACCAATCCGCGCCGCCGAGCGACCCGTATCGATCGACTATCGAACGAACTCGCGACACTTCTACGAACGCACCCGCCGACAGGCGCTCCGTCGTGCCAACCGCTACGACTCGATCGTATGTGCTTGCGCTAATCATTCCGCCGATCGCACCAAGACGCTTCACGTCACGCGTAGACGAATCATACCTCGCCGTCATATGTTCAAACGTTTATACAGATTCACATCGCCTTTATTCACTCACGCATTTATATAAATCATACGGAGTACATTTATTCCTATACAGAATCCACATCGCAATCATACACTTCACACACTACATACATCACATGTACACACAATCATCAAGCTTATTATTTCAATAAACATATTAATTTACTATCATCTCTCTTAAACGTGAGTTCTTCTTGGCGTACCCCCAATCGAACGAACCCGGATTCCGGCGAGCTATACCGCGCCCGAAAAAGCTTACACGGTTTCATTTTTAATAAACAACGAGCGACGGCTAAAACCCTTTGATTGTTATTCGGGGGGGACTTTGACATACAACATATGTCAAGGTCATTGACTTTTGGAGGTGCTGACCTTATGTAAATATTTACCAAAAATACCACGTGCCATTTAAAAATTGATTTCCGGTCTGGATAGCCTACTTTCAATTAAAACCGGAAGTTGAAAATATCACCCCGATAGAGCGTACCCGAAGTAGTATAGCAACACGGGTTCTAACTCAGGCATCTGAGGGGGTGCGCGGGTGAAGGGGGGGAGAGGGTTTGAGGGGGAGGGGGGGTAA